GGGGGGGGGTCTGAATTGAGCGATCAATTATTAGACCCGGACGTCCCAACACTTGCTTCGCAAGACAAACTCAAGGTATCCCCTAAAGGGCTACCTTTCGTGATATGCAATGCCGCCATGCTGCACAACCAGCTGCTCAGATTCGTCAGCAGTGCCTGACAAATGGGAACATGCAGGATATCACAAGGTGACAGGGTGAGGGAGCGCATGTCGCAGTGAAGAATCTACACTTCCCATGCTCAGCATCTCGGCATTGCGTTCGTCTGGCTTCCCCGAAATGGCTGCGTTCTTCTACTTCCGAGAAACCTTTTGAGGCTCGACATCATGACTCATGACATCACCTGTGTACTTTGATGACTTTGCCCAAACTGGTCACATCAAAACCTACCTCCAGGTCGAGCCTCTCTCTAACCGAATCCAACCCTCAACCATCGTCAACCGCACTTTCCGTTGGCAAGTAATCGTCCCAGAAGAACTCGATGTGACGTGAATGCATTGTCAAAGGCACCTTATGCATCACCGAGGCCCAAAAACCCTGCAAAAGAGTGACCGCTCAGCATGTTTATACCCTTGTGTTGCTTCCTATTGAGCTCTCTGTTGTGGAGACTTGTAGGATAGCAGCCGTCACACTGAAGAAGATGAGAATACCCTTTGTAGATTGTCCATCTTTGATCTGTTGTAAGCACCCTGGCTACGATAGGCCACGGACGGTTGCCTGGCACAGCAGCCTGGAAAGCTGCCCCAGTCCAAATCTCCTCTTCTGGTACTGGGCCAACCTCAAGGGTGACGAAACATGTTTGTACATGTAACTCTTTGCACTGGGGGGGCGATGGAAGCTTGTGTATCTGTGCAGTGTCCGCAGATGCCATTCGTGTTTGTTCGAGCGTCTTCCAAGACCTGAAGATAAGGAGAGCCGGTTTGTCACGGTTGCCCTAGTGGGAGCGAAACGGAGCGGATGGAAGTGGATGAGATCCAAAGTCGTAGACGAACTTCAGCGACCACAGCTCTGTTGGCTGGCCCGAAAAGTCACATCATCGCGGCATTCACTCCGAGCATTTGGGATCATGACGATCTCCAGTTCGGATCCAAGATACAATTCTCAATGCCACCGCCAAATCATCAATCTCCTCCCCTGGTTGCAAAGCATCCTTGGAAGTACCGAATGAAGAACTTACCGAATCAAAAACAGGAGCTCGGTTAGGGGCTAGCAGCGGCACAACCTTACTGAGGCACAACAATGCTGCTCACGATGGCCTCCACCCTATAATGAAACCCGTACTCGGACGAGCCATGTCACATGTGTGGCCTTTCCAGTTGGGCCTCGGACTATCCTGACGCACGGCTAGCATTGTCTCGCAATTTTATCCAACTGTCCTATCAGCCACATCCACTGTCTCTGGGAATCAAATCCAACCGAGGTACCCAATGCTGAGGCAACCGGACCTCAAGCCCACGTCCGGAAAGCTTTTCGCGGGGCTTCATGAAGGTAAGTTGATCGAGAACAATGTGCGGGAGAGTAATCCCTTCCAAAACAATGTCCACTGCCACCCTCTGAAGTTGTTTCTCTTCAATCGGTTTGCACGTCTGGACAACTTCCAAAGTTCTTTGTGTGGAGGATATCTTGAATCTGTTGTCTTCCCTGATTTTGACTGGCATCACCTCTGGTGCTGGGTTGGTTTGCGGGTGTCATGTATTGAAAAACATCCGAAGCACCTTTGAATGTACTTAGGGCTCTTATCCTGCCTCCTCCAACTTAGGCAACAAAAAAGCACTGAAACAAACCACGAACTCTGCACCAAGGATCTGTCGCAATCGCTTCACCCCAGGTGCTGAGGACCTGCCCCTGACACTTGGAGCAACGATTGGTCACTGGAGTGAGCTGACGCATGTTCTTGCAAGCTTATTGCCCTACAAACATCTTCGCTGAAGGTTGCGCATTCGGACTGTCGAGTCTAGAAAATGATCTGGCACTCTCAAGGGGATAATGCTGCAACCATTGAAACATTTTGAACCCAAAGGGTCACATTCTCAAATTGTTCTCAATAGATTTATATGTATATATAGAGAAAGAGAGAGAGATATATACGCAAATGAAATAATACCATATATTAATATATAGTTTGTAATATATATATATATATACACAGCAACGTGGCCGTCCATGGTACCATGTGGTTTCTCACCTCGCCCGGCGAGGCCAAGAGCGCCCCATCCTGGAAGACTCGTCGCTTCCGCAGCCGCTCCTGGTTGAGACCGACCCAAAGGCCGATTGAGGGAGATTCCAGCAGCACAATGTCAAAATGTTCCTAGTAGCGTCCTTGCTTCTAGTAGCGATGCCAGGAGCCCCTAATAGCGCCCTTACTAGCGTCCTTGTTACTAGTAGCTCCTTGTTCCTAGTAAGGCCAGGAGCCCCTAGTCGCTTCTTGGCTCATTTTGCTCTTTGGCGTCTCTCTTCTGCATTTTTTGTGTTCCTTTCTTACAGTGAAGTCCAGGGGGTTGAGTCCAGACCAATCTTCTTCTTTTCAGTCTCAACCTTGGCTGCTTACAGTGGGCATTTGTGTCCCCGCTCAAGGTGCTCGTCTACAGTTCCCTCTTCGGCTCAGTTGGCGAGGCTTCGGTCTCCATCCAGCGGAGCAATGCAAAGCTAGTGCATAGGGCGGTCGTCGCTGCCACTAGGGGAAAGGTGCTTCCTGAAGGAGGCTCTGGGGCGCCGCCTCCGGCCTCTTTGGCATCGGTCTTCGGTTGCGAAGATCGGCAAAAGCCACGTCCCATAGCCACTGTCCAGTAGAATTGAAGCAGCACCACAACAGCAAACGAGATGCTGGCATAAGCCCGCACAGGGGGGAGCTTGATTTCCACCAGCACGGCAGCCCATGGTTCCGGTAGTGCCTGAAAGTTGGAGAAGGTGCTCACTAAAAGCGATGCCCCCCAGGATTGGAAACCACACTAAGCGGATCAAGAGCCATGTTGAGTAGAAGCCCACTTCACACCACAGCGGGCGACCAAGAAGTCGTCGAAGCGTCAACAAGACGGTGTTCACTTCAACAACCAGCGCCCGGCTGGCATTGACCCTGTGACTGGGAAATTCAAGGGTATCTATCAAGACCACGATAGTGACAATGTGATGGGCGATGATGCTTTTGGGCGTCTTGACCATTCCAGGCTGAAGTGCTACCCACAGAGCATCACTGATCAAGTAGCCAGTTGTCAGGGCTACGACTATGCTGTGAAGGTAGGAGTCCTCCCCCCAAGCCAGCGCTGTGATGCACATGACAAAAATTGCCGTAAGGGCCCAAATGTTGGCCCAGTCGTGCAACAAGCTGGCACTCACCCTCATCGCCATGACGAAAGACCGAAAGACCTGGCTATTGGAGCTGACAGCCACATCTAGCTTGTCCAACAAAAAAATTGGAAAAATGCAGCTATACTATGCTCCTTTATGGTACTGTAGGGGGTTCACACCTTTGACTCTGACAGCGTATGACTCAGATGACTCTGACTGTATCTCCTTCTCTACGGAATTGCGCCAGCATGAGCCGAGCAGCCAGCCAAGGAGTGAAGTCGCCATATCATGTCAAGCAGAACATCTAGGTGCAAAGGGGAAGCCCATGGAAGTGTTCCATTCAGAAAACCAGCAATGCCACCATCCTATACCCAAAACTTGTGTTCTCCTTCACTGTGATTCTTCGGCGTACCAAGGGGAAAAGAAATGGCACAAGCAACCTTGGCCAATTGCTCAGAACTCCTGTCCTTAGTGAAGGAGATGCGGTAACCTTAGTCAAGGGTCGAGGCTGAAGGCTGAAGTGAGGCTGAATGAAATCAAGGATCACTGAATCACAGAATCAAAGCACAGCTCCCTCTTGTTCAAAGCTGAAACCTATAGTAGACAGGTGCAGGGCCAAATTCTCCAAGGCACAGGACCTCGCAAGCCCAGCGGATGGCATTGCTTCCCTGATCAGTTTGCAAACTGCAGGGGCTAGTCGTATTCTTCTTCCGACCATGGATTTCCGGTTGGTATCTGCTAAAACCCTG